CATATTAGCTTTACATATAATTACATATGTAGGGAAGAGATTTGATAAAGTCTATAGAGTCTCATGCTAAACCTGAGGAGGTTATTGGTCTACTTAAAGCTGGAGCTGATCCTAATGCTACTAAGGTTTGTAGCTACTGTACATGTATACTGTAGTATTCTAATTTGTTATAATAGTATACATCTGGTGATGATCCTGCTCTTATTATAGCCATTGAAAAAGGTAATACTGATATTGTTAAATTGTTACTGGAGAAAGGAGCTAATCCCAATGCTACTGAGGTTTGTAGCTACTGTACATGTATACTGTAGTATTCTAATTTGTTATAATAGTATACATCTGGTGATGATCCTGCTCTTATTATAGCCATTGAAAAAGGTAATACTGATATTGTTAAATTGTTACTGGAGAAAGGAGCTAATCCCAATGCTACTGAGGTTTGTAGCTGTATTATACTGTATTTTTTAATTTGTTACAATAGTATAAATCTGGTAGTAATCCTACCCTTATTGTAGCTGTAAAGAAGAATAATATTGGAATTGTTGCAGTTCTACTTGAAAAAGGAGCTGATTCTAATATTGGTTTTAATACTGTAAGTTGCCAGTATACATGCATGTAGTTATGTAACAGCCAGTGCACCATATGAGGTTGTACTATTTCTTTAAAAGAATGAACAAGTTAGCTTTTTAAAAGGATTATTGGCATTAAAACTATACATTAATAATTTTAATGTACCATAATTTTGGTATGGTAATTTTCAAATGTCCAATATTTCTCCAAAATTTCCTTAGAAGCTAATATTCTTAGGTACAAATATTCCTGGCTCTAGTAAACTTCTTTTTTCACTTCTACAGCACTGATACATGGCTTATATTGAATAATAAAATAATAAACTAAAATTCTGGCTTCTCCACTGGCTTGAAAATAGTATATTTAGAGCTTTGCATGGCCCATTATTTAGTTTTTTATGCAGTAGGGGTTAAAATTATGTGGGTATAAATGAACTGTGAAACAGACAAAAATCAATACCCCACCAACCGTATGGTCTACATGTATAATTGTATCCATAAATTACTTACACACACATTATTAGCACTTGCTTTAGTAAGCAACTTTTAAATATCTATTTTTTATTAATTATGATCATAAAATAATTGTATCAATATAGTATGATGGTACTCCTTTGCACCATGCCAGTGAAACTGGTAATGATAATATTATCAAATTATTAATAACTAAAGGAAAAGCTGATGTGAATGCTGTGGATATGGTAAAGTTATTCAATAATAATTATTATTTAATTCTATTTGTATCATTTAATTTTGTATTTATAGGACAACTGTACTCCATTGTTTAATGCTGTTAAGAGTGGTAGCATTGAAGCTGTTGATATTCTATTAACTAATGGAGCTAGAACTGATGTTGTGTCTGAAGTAAGTTTTATGTTGAAACTTGATCATGATTATACAACATAAAATTTTGAAAGCTGTAACTTTTGGAGACTAAGATTCAATTTATGCTGCACGCTGGCAGTGTCTATTCATAAAAATTAAATTTAGCAAATTTGAAAAATTACTGCAAACACTAACACACAGGCTAACATATTGCCTGCATGTGTAGTCATAATGTTTCATGGGTAACTAAATTTGTGACTGAGTACAAATATTACTATTTAATATTTATGTTTGCACATGTGCAGTGATCAGTTAATACTGCCTAATACTGTAAATAACTGTACACATTTAGCAAAGCAGACTGCCTACAATGTATGTAATTACTTAATCCAATAGCAGGCTGGCAATTTTGTTTGTTGTTTATTTATTATTATTGTTATTATTTATAGGATGGTGAAACTCTACTACATTGTGCAGGTGAATCTGGTAAAGTTGAAATGCTTGAGTTTTGGATTAAGAGAGGAGAATATGATGTGAATGTGAAAGATAAAGTAATTAATATTTAAAATTGGTAGTCACTTTATGTTTTATTATAGTGGAACAGAACTCCATTGTTTAATGTTGTTAAGAGTGGTAGTATTGAAGCTGTTGATATTCTATTAACTAATGGAGCTAGAACTGATGTTGTGGATAAAGTAAGTGAAACCTATGTATGTACTGTAACAACCTGATACGGTAGCACTGATGTACATGTACATGTAGCACTGGAAGATATGGTAATGACAATATGCAGACTCACCTTTTGTTTAAATTATTGTTATTTTGTTATTATTTTTATAGTTTGGTATAACTCTACTACATTGTGCTGGTAAATCTGGTAAAGTTGAAGTGCTTGAGTTTTGGATCAAGAGAGGAGAATATGATGTGAATGTTAAAGCTAACGTAATGTTTTCAAATTATCAGTCACTTTATGCTTTATGTTGTATTATCATAGAGCAAAAGAACTCCATTGTTTGATGCTGTTAAGAGTGGTAGTATTGAAGCTGTTGATATTCTATTAACTAATGGAGCTAGAACTGATGTCGTGTCTGAGGTATGCAATATAGCCCAAGGAAAATATTGTATCCACCATTAGCTCATGCAGGCTTATTGATTATTAATGTGATTATGTCATATATCCCTTACTGTTATAACATGTACATATACATGAACTGCTTACATTGATTATTCACTAATGTTCACGTGCATGTATATATAGTATTTGAGACATCATAATCCTCAAAATGTCATTAAGTTATGAAGTCATTAAATCAACAAGCTAAATTTGATACTATAATATTATATAGGTGATAGCCTATATGTAGGATTCAGGTGAATTTTTCAAGATGGCTGCCGTTTTTATACTTTTAAAATGCTTATAACTCTTTTATCCTACGTTGTACAGCCTTATAAATGGTTTAGATGAGCTCTCCTTCACTGAGCGATTCTCCTGGTACCTTTAAAGTGGACTGTAATGTAGCGGGAGCATTTCTAGAGAACAGGCCCAAATTCAAATTTCTGAAAAATTCTTCAGACTTTTCCTTCTTTCATCTTCTTCTATTGGGAGAATAATCTTTTAAACCAGAGAACCGCTCGAGTTGGCTTTTACATCACTCCTCAGGGCTTGGGTCAAGGACCACAAAGGTAGTTTCTAAAAGAAGCAAGGAGAGAACAAAATGGAAGACAAAATCCAGCTGCAGAGTGCAGACACCGCATGTGTTTGTGGTTTGACTCCATTTTAATTTATTCGCACGTGATCAGCATGAATAATAATTAACCTAACCACACAATCATAACTGAATGTAAATTACTACATTAAGAAAAAAGAATGGAAACAAGTAAATAAAAAACATTAAAAATGGGAA